GAGAGGATGTGGGGGGGCAAGCACAGCAGGACAGGTGCGGCCAGCTACCTGGAGGCTGCGGAGAACGAAGTCCTGCTCCGAGGTGAGGAGGAAGTCCACCTTCGGGGAGCAGGGGGCATTGTGATGGGACGGGTTTCTCAGGAACACGAACCCTCTCACTTCCTGTCCCCGAGGAGCATCCTGGAGCTGGAGCCCCACCGACAGGGGGGCCCCCAGGTGAACCACGGAAGGAGAAAACAGGAGCAACCTGGGGAGAGCAGGCAGGTCAGCAGTGGCCCCACCGGCCCCAGCCCGCCCGCTCAGCAGCCGCCGCGCCAGGACCTGGGCTCCTGCAGAGACAAGGCGAAGCTGGACGCCCAGATCAGGCCCCAGAGGAGCCGCATGGCTGCAGGACCAGGAGCGATCAGACCCGTGCGCCTGTCTGCTCCTCTCTGGTTGGCCTCGTGCTTGGAGCAGAGTAGACTCTGGACCTTGCTCCTCCCCTGGGCCAGCTAAGCTGGGAAACCACGTGACAAGCAAGAACTGCAACTGGCCCCAGGCCCAGTGTTGGGGGCAGGGGGGCACCCCGGACACCTGGGTCACTGAGGAAATCATGGCCCAGAGGTCCTGTTCTCCTCCCCCTCCACGCCCTCCCCTCCCGTTAGCCTCCTGCCAGTGCCTGGGCATCTCCCCTCCTGGGCATGTGTGGTGTCTGTGTACCGCTCGGCAGCCTGGGCGGAGCACCGGGCAGAGAAATCAGACTCCTTGGCCAAGGCCCTGACAAAACACGGCGATAAGATGCGGGCCTCCCACTATAAACCCCACAAAATAGAACTTCGTGAGGCCTGTGCTCTTCACAGACCCTGACAGAAACCCCCACCACTCCCCAAGGAAACTGACCTCCACACCCCCCTTCCTCTCTGAACAATGAGGCCACGGTTAGGCCCAGTGTGGCTTTACCTCTACTCCCAGTGAGGAGCCACCCACCACATTAAACAAGACGCCAGAAGAGCACCAGCAGAAGTACTTTATTTGGCCGTTTCAATCCACCATGTAGGGCAGAGAACCCCGCCCCTCTCACCTGCCCCTCGGAAACCCCGCCTTCCTACCCCAAGACAGTAAGAGCAGCACCGTGCTGCCTGAGAGGCAGTGGCCATGTCCACAGGCCCCCGAAGCACTGCCCAAACCCCACCCTGGCCCGGAGCCCAGGTCAACAGCAGCAGTCACGCCTGGCACTGCATGTCCTCAGGTCCATCACACATCCTCCTGGCCAAGCTTTCGCAAGGTGACCCTGGCTCGGCCACACTGGGCAGCACGCCTGGCCCCCAGGCCCGGTTCCGGGAAGGCTTGTCGCGGTGAGCAGACCCTCACGTCTCCGGCAGGCGCAGAAGGGTTCCAGAAGTGGTAGAGACACTGCAAGAGAAAGACACAGTTGACCCAGACGCGCGGGCCCAAGGTCTGGGGAGAACTCGGAA